TTTAAATCCACCAGCTGCTACTTAGAAACCCTGTACAGGGTCGCTCTGAGTCAGAATTGACTCGACAGCACTTAACAAATTAACAAAAAATCCTTTGGTACTATACGATAAGCATTGCATTACTAACCACAAGGTCAGCAGTTCAAACCCACAAGTCACTCTTTGGAAACCCCATATAGGATTGCTATGAGTCGAAAACAACTTGACACCACTTAACAACCACCACAACACTTTTTCCATTTCCATTTCATTTATTTATCCTTCGTCATCTGCTTAACTCCTTTTGTTTTTACCACATGACTCACAGGCATTACTTAGCTGAGCTAGTGACACCCTGAGTTTGAAACTGCTGATCTTTATAGCTACAAATATCATGGTATTTAATACAACTAAAAAGTGCTGCTTGGGGTTTTTATTTATTGGCATTTCCAGAACACAGCTATGTACTTCATGGACTTTGTAGATCAGTGAGAAAAGGCACATAGTCGCTACAGAAAGCAATTCTGTTTCAAGCACAATAAAAAAATTGGGTTAGTCTTTAACTGATTTTTCCTGTCTTATGTTTAATTCAATACAAACTCCTGCTATTGTGCCTAGTACAGTGGCTGATGCATCGTAAAGTGCTCAATACTTAGTTCAATGAGCAAATGCACATCTATTCTAATTAGACTAAGACCTATCACCACAGAGTCAATTGGAGCTTGTGCAAACTAGGTAATTTTAGAATGTTTATTAAGGACTCTACAAAGAAATCATATTGGAGATTTATATTGACTTATATTCATAAGCTGCCCGGTAGTACTTGTAGTTGTTAAGTGTCATTGAGTCATTTCCAACTCACAGTAAACCTGTCTAGGTTTCTGAGGAGGAGCTGCTGGGTTTGAACTGCTAACCTTGTAGCTCCAAGTCCAGTGCTGATCCTACAGTGCCAGGAATCCATTAGCTAGTACTCATTAGTTAGGTTGATATGTTCCAACTATGTGAAAACTTTATTTTATAACAGACTGAATGTGGTATTTGGCTTTCTTTGTGCTCAATTCTGAAGATTTGGAGTAGAATTTTTCAATGTTTAACATATAAATAGAAAATGTTTATGTTTAATAGAATTACTACTTAGTGAAGATTTGTGTTTATTCTCAATTGCACTTTAAAATTCAAATTATGTATGCACTACAGATATGCAGTCAATATTCTCAAAAGGAAAAGATCACAGTTCTATATAAAACAATATTTTTGTCTAGTTAGAAAAACTGAAGTTGTCTCACACTAACACATAAGCAGTATAGAAAAGAACCACTGGTAATTTACTGGTACATTGTAGGTAAAATTTTGTTGAGTAAATAATGAAGGAATGAAAGAGTGAACAAAGGAATGCAAAATGTCAGGATTACTAGCCACTATACATATTAATTTTAGACAAAAAAAGAAAAAGAATTATAATTTCCCAAAAATAATTTGATTCTATTTTAGTAAAAACATAATATGAAATCATTACCTCCATATTAGTGCCAGGTTACAATTTCTGTCTTGAACATAATCTTTTGTCTTCTTCAGAAGCAATTCCACAAATTCAGGATTACCTTTTCTGGCGAAAACCCAGTACAGAATTGTATTCACACATATTTCAGTAAATTCAATATTAAAATTTAGTTCAAAACGGTATCCTGATTTTTCCACAAATGCAATATAATCTGTGAGTAGAATGTCAAACCCCTCCAAGTCGACGTACCTCAGAATTTTTGCCAGTGTTCTATAAATCCTAGGTTCATAACAGTGATATCCCCACTGACCCAAAAACTGTAAGGAGGGTCTTTTGACAATTTTTTCAATGAGATTGCAGAATATATTGCTTCTTGTACAAGAAGTCTTACGACATATTTTAAAAGACCTATTCATTGCTATTTAAGGCAGCAATATAGAAATAAAATTACAGGAAGTCATAATGTAATCCTTTGTTCACATATTTTGATAATGTGCTAGGCTTAACTGCACACACCTGAAGTGCCTTTTAAACTGTAGTCAGACAAAAATATCATGAAATACTAGGTGACATCACAATGGAGACCTGTCATCAGCATAGGTCAGAAATTTGGGATATGTAGCTGGTGACATTTGAGAGAAACATATTGGGCAGAAATGATATGTGTGAGGGCTAAGATGTAATGTTTTTAACTTTTCAAGAATTCAGCCCAAGTGAGTATGTATGTTTTTCAAGTGCATTCTAGAATTCAATTAAATGTTAATAAGCAGCTTGATTATTCTTTTCAGGGATATCTTGTAAACAGATAGAGTTACTGAGAGAAATAAAAATTTACATGATTGTTCTTATGAATGAGCACTGCATGTTTTCTTTACTCCTCATGTTGTTGTTGTTAAGTGTTGTCAAGTCAGTTCCAACTCACAGTGACTAAAAATCTTTGTGGGAGCAGAAAGCTTGATCTTTCTCCTGTATAGTGGCTGGTGGTCTCAAACAGCCAACCTTGTCCAGTGCTTATCCTACGGAGCCACCACGTTCTCTTACTTCTCATAAATCTAGTATTTTCCCATTTTATAATTTGAGGAAACAGGCTCAGATATATAAAGTAACTTGCCAATAGATGATATATTAATTTTCTAGGGAGAAAAGATATACAAAAATTTAAAAATTTGGAAAACTTTTAAGAATTTAAAATTGTATAGAGAATAATCCCCTATAAATCAAGACAATCATATACTTCAAGCTAGACATGACATTGTTGCATCAGTAAAATAAGTGGGGACTATATTATGATTGTCTTGTCATTTGTTGTTAGGTGTTTTCAAGTTGGTTCCGACCCATAGTGACCCGATGCACAACAGAATGAAACACTATCCAATCCTGTTCCATCTGCATAATTATCATTACTCCTAAATCCATTGATGCTTCCACTGCGCTAATTCATCTCATTGAGGGTCTTTCTAATTTTCACTGACCCTCCACTTTTCCAAGAATGATGTCCTTCTCCAAGGACTGGCCCCTCATGATAACATGTCCCAATATTAGAGAAGTCTCACCATCCTGGCTTCTAAGGATAATTCTGGTGGTGCCTCTTCCAATTCAGATTTGTTTGTTCTTCTGGCAGTCCATGGTACTTTTAATAATCTTCTCCAAAACCATAACTTAAATGTACCAATTCTTCTACAGTCTTCTTATTCATTGTCCAACTTTCATATGCATATGAAGCTATTGAAAATACCATGGCTTGGGTCAGGTGCACCTTAGTCCTCAAATTGACATCTTTGCTCTTGAACACTTTAAAGAGGCCTTGTGCAGCAGATTGGCCTAGTGCAATACGTCCTTTGATTTCCTGACTGCTGTTGTTATGAGAGCTGATAGTGGATTCAAGTAAAATGAAGTCTTTGACAACTTCAATGTTTTCTCCATTTATCATGATGCTACTAGACCACAAGGTTGGTTTGAACTGCAAGGTTGGCAGTTCAAATTCACTAGCCACACCTTAGAAACCCTGTACAGGGTAGCTATGAGTTGGAACTTGCAGGTGATATTGATATTGCTCAATGAGTTAACAAAGGCACTTAACAACAACAAATCATGATATTATTTATTGGTCCAATAATGAGGATCTTTGTTTTATTTACAACCCGTACTGAAGGCTGCAAAATTTTACTTGCATGTAATATTAATGATGATTTCCATATTCTGTTAGGTCACCTGTTTAGAATGGGTACTAATATAGACCTTTTTCAATTGACCTTACAAATTTCTTAGCATATATGAGTGAGCATCTCCAGTGTGGCATCAGTTTGTTGAAACATTTCATTGTGTATTATGCAAATTCCTGGAGCCTTGTTTTTTGCCAATGCCATCAATGCAGCTTGGACTTCTTCCTTCAGTACCGTTGGTTCTTAATATGCTACCTTTTGAAATGACTAAACATGGACCAATGTTTAGTATAGTGACTCTGTGTATTCTTTTCATCTTCTTTTGATGCTTCCTTCATCATTCAATACGTCTTTGATCTTCATTAGTATTTTAAGTTTTCGCTTTTAGCAAACAAGGTTGTATCATCTGCATAGCACAGGTTGATAACAAGTCTTTCTCCAATCCTGCACCATGTTCTTCTTCATAAAATACAGCTTCTAGGATTATTTGCTCAGTCTACAGTCTGAGTAAGTATGTGAAAAAATACAACCCTGGTGCACACCTTTCTTGATTTTAAGCCATTCACTATTCCTTTGTTCTGGTTGAATACCTCTTAATCTATGTACAGGTTCCTCATGAATACAATTAAGTGTTCTGGAATACCCATTTTCTGAAATAATATCCATAGCTTGTTATGATCCACATAGTCAATAGCCTTCACATAGTCAATAAAGCACAAGTAAACATCTTCCTGATATTTTCTGTTTTCAGCCAAGATTCAACTGACATCAGCAATGATGTGGAATCCCTCATTCCACACCTTCATCTGAATCTGGCTTGAACCTCTGGCAGTTCCCTGTTAATATACTGTTGCAGCTATTTTTGAATTATTTTCAGCAAAATTTTGCTTGCATATGATATTGATATTGTTAATGGCTTCCACACTCTTTTGGGTCACTTCTCTTTGGAATGAGCACTATTATGGATCTTTTCCCATCAGTTTGCCAGGTAACTGTCTTCCAATTTCTTGACATAGATGAACGAGTGCCTCCAGTGCTGTATCAGTGTGTTGAAAGAGTTCAACATTATCAACATTCAGTAGTTAATGTCTCAGTCACTTTTTCTATGCTGTTCATGGAATGATTAGTCTTATATTTAATAAAGTTGGATGTATTTATTAGCATTTTTTGAAGGTTGTTAAATGCTTTTAAAGATGGCTAAATCCCCTTTGCATATTTTGTAAAAAAAAAAATCACACGTATGATGTCTCTTTAGCAAAGGAAAATCATAGCTTTGGTATGCTATACATCCACTAATTCTGCATTTAAATTTATAAACTCTAAACCTCCCTTTCCCAGGATAGCATGAAGACCTAATCACAAATTTTCTGTTTTTTTTTTTTACCACTTCAAAAATATTTTAATCAAAATATTCTAATTGATGTAGTTATAAAAGTTGCAAAAATTTCAGTCATAGAGATGGTAAAAATCCATTTCAGAGTTCATCATGTTAGCAGTTTTATGTATGTTGTTGTTAGATGCAATAGAGTTGGTGCCAACTCATAGTGACTCTATGCACAACAGAACGAAACACTACCTGGTCCTGCACTAACCTCACAATGGTTACTACAGTTGAGCCCATTACTGCTGCCACTGTGCCAGTCTGTCTTGATGGGGGTCTTCCTGTCTTTCTCTGACCCTCCACTTTATCAAACATGATATCCTTCTTCAGGGACTTTTCCATCTTGACAATATGTCCAAAATACAAGAGACAACATCTGTCCATCCTGGCCTCCAAGGAATATTCTGGCTATATTTCTTCCAATACAGATTGTTTTATATATGTTGTTGTTGTTGTTATGTGCCATGGAGTCGGTTCCGACTCATAGCGACCCTGTACAGGGTTTCCAAGGCTGTAATTCTTTATGGAAGCAGAAAGCCTCATCTTTCTACCTCAGAACAGCTGGTAATTTTGAACTGCTGATCTTGCGGTTCACAGCCTGATTCGTAATCACTACGCAACCAGAGCTCCTGTGTTTTATGTATATAGCCTTTCAAAAATTTTAAATTAGATTATTTTGTTCTTTTTACACAACAGAATATTATACATAAGTGGTTCTATGTGCTGCTTTTTATTTATATGAGAATATATTATAGATGGCTCTTTATGACAAAATAAAGGAACCCTGATAGCACAGTGGTTAAGAGCATGGCTGGTAACCAAAAGGTTGGAGGTTCAAACCCGCCAGCCATCAGTCATTGAAAGATACTGTAGTCTGCTTTTATAAAGAACAATCTTGGAAATCCCATGGGGCAGTTCTACTCTGTCCTATAGAGTTGGTATGAGTTAGAATTGACTCAACTGACTCATGTTTTTGTTTCTGTTAAAATACAATATATAATAATGGCCAACTTTTATGAATTACTTAGTATTTATCACACATTATTTTAAGTATTTTGTATATTAACTCCTTGAATCCTTATAACTACTTCACAGATAAGGAGGCTAAGATACAGCTTAAATGACTTATCCAAGGTCATATGTCTAGTGAGTCTAGGAGCTGGGATTTGAACTACAGTATGGTGCCAGAGCCTTCACTTCTGCTTCTTCAAAATGAGAGAGTGGCCTTGTCTTAAAAAAAAAAAAGGAGAGAGAATAGCTTATTTATGAATTATGTTGGTAAATGCCATCGAATCAGTTCCAACTCATAGTGATCCTGTATAGGGTTCCTAAAGATCACTTTGTGGGTTTGAACCCCAACCTTATGGTTAGCAGTCCAGTATTTATCCTATATGCCACAGAATAGAGCTAAAAAAGTAAATAAATAAAACAGAATGGTAGATTAACCCAGTTTTTTGGAAAAAGCATTCCAGAATATACATTAAATTAATAACAATGTGCATTTTGGGATAATGAATTTAAATGCTTTTATTTTTAATTTATATGCCTTATTATTTGAATATCAATGAGCATGTATTTTTTTGCAATTAGATAAAATGCTATTTTCATTTAAACTATAATAGCCAGAACATTGTTGTCACAATTATCCTTAAATTTAAAAAAAGTATAGCCATTACTAAGGATATGCATTTGAGTTATGGTGTTGTAGGAGAATATTAAAAGCACCATGGACTATCAAAAGAACAAACATGGCTTACAGACTTTCAAGAGGGAACCTAGAGCTAGGGGACATGGAGGAAGGCAGAATCTCCAGTGAGTACTATCCAATCTGTCTAGGCGGAGTTGATGAAATGAAATGCAGATGAGTCTCTTGTGATACAATAGTGAATAATTGTTATCAGGACTGATTGTGAGGGTTGGAAATGTAAAGGTAGATGTTTTAAAGCAAGGAAGGGAGTGATTAACTTTCCAGTCTAGGAATGGAGGTCCCTAGGACCATCAATGGAGAA